TATATTTGCTATCATACATCAAAGTATATAGGAATCCCATCATTTCTGTCATATTTTCTCCAGACATGGTCTGAAACAAAATCACCAAGAACTAAATCAAAAGCTTCCTGTTTATCATAGGAAAGCCAAAGAAGATCTTTCCTCTTTTTTTTTTTTGCATTTCAGTACTAGTATTTTTTTAAACTTGTAAGGATTCTTCATAAACTAGAGGTCCATAGATCATTTAAAGCAGTCTTTATAAGCAAATTTACATACTTTCACATGCTTTTGTGAGGCAGCTAGTATCAAAATCCAATAGCATTTCTTACAGAACCATATGACTTTCTGCGATGCAGATATACATTTCATTTCTAAAAAGCCACAGTTCTTTTTCTGCATCTGCTCTCATCAAATCCCCAGGATTCATTCATAAAACTACGGCTGTTCCAAATGCTGATGCTCTTATCCCTGCTGTGGATTAAGACGTACACCCAATCTGGTGACATCATCGCGTGGAAGATTGATAAGTAGGAAAACACCCCCCCCAAATCCACAGATAGTCTTTTCTATCTCTAAATCCTCATGATTCATGTCACCCAACAGTGCAATGCGATGAAGACACGTTTCTATGCAGGTTAAGGGTCTTCTTCCATCAAAGGAATCTCTAAGGGGAAAAAAGAAATAGCATTGATTGCTAATTGCAACTTCCCTTTATACTTTTGCAAAGTGTTAGTAACAGCAATGCTACAAAAATAGAAATGGACATTGCAAAAATCTGAACAAGACATACGGTGTCACCAATTCTAGACCCGCTTGCGCTCTAACACTGACATGAAAATTAGCCTAAACCCACCTAGATTTTCTATAACAAGTTGGGCCCACAAAAACCTAAATGCAAACATCCTTTCTACTACATTAATCATGGAAACAGCATTCAGAGTAGGCAGAGACATTTACTGGTGTTATAATTTCTCCCTCCTCCTTCTAGCTGTCCTCTTGTGATACCATTAAAAACTAACCCTAACCCTATGAAGCAGGAAGTCTTCCTTCACCCAGATCTTCACCCACACTGAATTTAGGATGCTGGGCTTCATCTCTTCGCCTAGTGACTGTGGAGGGCAGTATCGGAGCTGCTCCTCCGACATGCCTCCAAGGAAAGCTATCTAGTTTCCTTGGCACGCTGAGCAGCAGCCTATGCAGCTCCATTAGAACTCAATGAAATTATATTAATGAATGCACATGCTCAGTTTGAATGCAGATGATCAGATATGGCAATCTCCCTTCTCATACATGCTCCTGTGGGTATGTTCCCCTTACGCTGTGACTCCCCTGCCCATGGCTTAAAGCATACATACTTCAGATGGAACAGTTTGCTGCACGCACAGACACGATGAGTTCATAGAATCAGAATCATAGAATGGCCTAGGCTGGAAGGGACCTTAGAGATCATCTAGTCCAACCTTCCTGTCATGGGCAGGGACGCCACCTCTCGACTAGACCAGGCAACACGGCCAAGAATGAAAACATGATTTGCTTTCCATTCTGAGGAGAAAAATCCTGCTCTTTGCTGTGAAAGCCATGGCATGGGAGGGAGTTGTGAGCGTAGGAGCTGAGGAGCAGATGAACAGCCTGACGCAGGCAAGATGATGGTTGGCTTCACTGCTGTATTGGGTGACATTCTTGGTGATGCCACTGCTGTTACGGGGTCTGGAGAGGAACCTTTGGCCTGGGACTCCAATCCCTTGCACTACAGCTAACAAGGACATATTGCAGGAACGAAGCCCAACGACCGTGGAGTAGTTATGCTTTAAAAAACGTCCAAATTAAGACGTGGATAAAAACATTTTGTCAGTTGGGTTTATTCCTGTTTACGGACTCACCTATTGCACCTATGCAAGACTCACCATCTGCAATATCGATCCGTGGACTCGTGGAGGCGGCCTCGCCGGCAGTGCTATGGGATACGTCAGTTCGATCTGAACCTGGAAGCGCTGCCGCTTCACATGGCAGGGTTGGGTACAAAGTTTGGAGCAGTTCAGAGGAGCCCGACCTACTGTTACAGGTCTCAAATTCGCTAGGCAGTGTGTCTGTAATCCTGGGGCCAGGGTAAGCAGGAGGATTCTGATCTTCTGTCTGCAAAATATGCCCCTGGTCTGTGGTAGCTGAATATCCGGGTGCCAGAGCGTTCAAGCCGCTGCTTACAGCTTCATCATAGGAAGGCAACATGACAGGAACACCATCCACCACCACAAAGTCGGGGTCACCCATGGAGCCTTCCTGGTTGCCTCTATATCAAACACAGACGAGTTATCACAGAGAGCAGGAGCACGTCAGAAACACCTTGGAGCAACGGATGAACTTAAGTAAACACAGTACTTTCTAGTAATGCAAAATGAAGCTACAGGGTCATTAACATTCACAGAAATGTTTGCTTCACGGGTCTGTGAAACTCTGTTCAGGTTGACAGTCAGTTACAATCAGAAAAAATGAAACCAGTAATGTGAAGAACAATTTCAAGAAGAGAAGGAAAACAGGTGCTAGGAAGAGATAAGGAGCACCATTTGCTGTGCACAGTAGGTATCATGGATATAAGATCACAGATGTAGTTCACCAGTCCAGAGTCTTTGAATCCCTGTAAAGATGTGTGATCGAGACTAGCGTTTACAGCCCAAAGAAATGGGCACAGAGATGGCTACTACTGAATGACAGGGCTTTGGTGGCAAGATTTGTGGCCTCCTTCAGGTCTTACTTTCAAAGGATGAAGTCTTCCTTAACCAGTACTAATTTAGTTTCGTTTTTAAGCAAAACATTTCTCTTGATTGGGAGAGTCTGTTAAACCCCAAAGTATCTGTGTAGTAGCAAATTAAATCACAATATAGTCCTAGCAGGAGGGAAGTGGTCCCAGGTACCTTTAGGTACCTCTGAAAAGGAGAGAACAGAAAGTATGGACTATAAAGATAGCCATAGTGCATGTCATTATCCCAGAGACCTTCCTATTCTGTATCTGTATCTGTATCTGTATCTGTACCTGTATCTGTATCTGTATTCGTATCTGTATCTATGCTCGTATATATACATATACACATTACTTATTGAATCTGTACACTTTTATGTACACTTATTTATTTAGCATTAAGGTCAGCAAGTCCTTTCTGCTGCAGCGGCATAGGGACATATTTACTAACAGCTTCTTCCGCCTCCTTTCTGCACGGGGTAGAATAAGGACACAAGAAAAAGCAAGCACAGAAGAGGAGAAGTCACACATCCAAGATCCACAGCAAACTGAGCAGACTGAAAACTAGAAACAAATCTAAACCCAGATACAACATTAGCTTTGCCAAAAATTCAGCACACCTGCCTTTGTTTTTCCATTTTTAAGGTGGTAACAATAATACCCACCTACCTGTCTCGTGAAGAGTGCTGTGAGAATCAATAACAAATGCTCACAGGTGCTCAGTATTTTATGGAGATGAAGATATAAGAGATGTTTATGAATCATGGTGAAAATAATACTTATGAAGGCAAAGCAAATTTTAATATAAATTTGTCCACAGAGAAAAAAGAAATGCTTTCTTTACATTACTAAGCCTATAGTAGTTAAAAAATTAGTTGCCCCAACACTGGAAAATGAGTATTTAAAAATATTGCCAGCTATTTTTACATGCAGAAGCAGCAATTCTCAGTAGCAGAGCTGTAATTACTCCCAAAGCGAGTCTGGCAAGCTTTGCCTTTTATCTTAGTTGCAGAAAGGACAACTGTGGGGTTTCAGGGGTGCCCTTCCACACTGGTGGTTCAGAGACTTCTGCTCTGAGCAGAAGAAGGTATCTGCAAGGCTCACAAGCTGCTCCGTCTCCTCAGCAAAATAAAAAAGAAAACAATACAAACCTTGGAAGGAAATGTGTCTTAAATTTGGTCTGGAACATCCTGGCTAAAATAACCAGTAGCAGTACTAATAAAACGCTAGTAGCAGTAAACGCCACTATCTTCCATGTAGTCAGGAGGGTCTCCTGTGTATTTGGCCAGGTTTGTTCTGTAACAAAAAAGACAATGCAAGAGTTGTGCTTGATTATTACCACTGTCATTTTGTATTAATACTTCAATACTCAAAAATGCCAGTTAGGACAAGACATCTTTTATAAGTATATTGCAAAAATACACAGGAATCCAGTGCCATTTACCAAAAGCAACCTTAACAATAATCAGCCACAGGGGCTGGGCCTGGACTTTTTTATACATGTAATCATGACCTTAGCTTATATACATATAAAAATATCCAGAAGATGCTAAAAAATACATTTAAAGAGCTAATGACTGAAATGGTTTAGGACCATTAAGGATCTTGGAAATGTACTATATTTAATAGCATCTTAAAATCAATGTTCATCACTTAACGATGAAAGAGATGAAGTTCACCAGGCAGGAGAAAAAGACCTGGGGGTTCTGGTGGGCAGCAGGATGACCATGAGCCAGCAATGTGCCCTCGTGGCCAAGAAGGCCAATGGCATCCTGGGGTGTATTAGAAGAGGAGTAGCTAGTAGGTCGAGAGAGGTCCTCCTGCCCCTCTACTCTGCCCTGGTGAGGCCACATCTGGAATATTGTGTCCAGTTCTGGGCCCCTCAGTTCAAGAGAGACAGGGAACTGCTTGAGAGAGTCCAGTGCAGAGCCACAGAGATGATGGAGGGAGTGGAACATCTCCCTTATGAGGAAAGGCTGGAGGAGCTGGGTCTCTTTAGCTTGGAGAAGAGGAGGCTGAGGGGTGACCTCATTAATGTTTATAAATATGTCAAGGGGGAGCGTCAGGAGGACGGAGCCAGGCTCTTTTCAGTGATGTCCAATGATAGGACCAGGGGCAATGGGTACAAGCTGGAACATAGGAGGTACCACAAAAATATTAGGAAAAACTTTTTCACTGTGAGGGTGACAGAGCACTGGCAGAGGCTGCCCAGGGAGGTTGGAGAGTCTCCTTCTCTGGAGACATTCAAAACCTGCCTGGACGCGTTCCTGTGTGACCTACTGTAGGTGATCCTGCTCTGGCAGGGGGGCTGGACTAGATGATCTTTTGAGGTCCCTTCCAACCCCTGACATTCTGTGATTCTGTGGTTACAGACCAACAGATCTGCTCTAATAAAGATGGAGTGTAAGAGGACAGGAGTCATGCCATTGCTGCTCCCTCACCTGTTTTGACACAGTATACTTGGTAGGAGGGGAACCACTCTCCGTACTGGCAGGTGATGTACTTGTAGTCATTGGTGAGGGTATAACCAGGATCACAGTAAAACTCCACCACCGTCCCGTGGTTGTAACGTTCACAAGGCCGTGGGTGGCAGATGTAGTCTCCATGACTCACCATTGGAGGTAGTGGGCAAACTTGGGCAAATAAGCAGAAAGAAAAGGAGAAAGACATTAATGGCAGCAATACACAGCTGGGTAGCTTCAGGGTATCAAAAAGCACAGGGCCTGCTTCAGGCTCCCTCCTCTGGGAGAGGAGAAGGGCGAGAGGAGGACAAAAGGGGACCATTATGCCTTTAACATGGCTCTATGGGGATGGAGGGGGAGAGAAGAATCTCTCTCCTTATGAAGCACCTCGAATTCTGCTGTGACGTCCTATTTTTTGTTTCATTAACATAATTAAGCAGCTTTATGCACTAATTAAGTTCCTAAATATTCACTTTTAAGAATAAATTTCCCATCTACTCTGCTGCAAGAGACACACAGCACACAATGTTGCTTAAGCACTTACAGCCTGTACCGCTGTAATATTATTAAGTTGAGCTTAAACTCTGCCGGCGTTATTTGGGTTTTGTTATCTCTGAACAGCCTGACTGATCTCAGTGGGACCACTGGTGGAGTGAGGTCTTAAATAAAACAGAAGCTGAGCCTGTGTTAATTAAGTACAGTGGTTTACATAAGGTTAAGTAAATAAGACACAACTGCAATATAAACATGTGGAACTTTTATTGTGGGCCCTGAAACAAAAAAGAAAAGCCCTCTCACATGGGCAGATGAACTCAATGCAGAACTAGGGGAGCACTCCCTAGGAATCAGCAGCAGGGAAAGCGGCTCGCAAGCAGTATTTTTATGAGAGGAAACTTTTCCACTGAGTAAGCGTTAGTTGATTACTATTTTCTTAAGTGCTGCTAAGGCAGAGGAAAAAAAAAACCTTACAAAGTGTAATGATGTCTCAAATGGCTACATACTGACCCCAAAAATGCTTAAATTACTGGATGGCTTGGTTTATTTCCCTTCAGAGGCAGTAACTAACTGGCTCAGTGCCCCATCTACAGGCTGTTCACTCCACTTCATGCCTCCCTCATGCAGGCAAGACCTACTGCATTGATTTAAATAATGAAAATGCCATCTCTTGGAAGAAGAATCTTCCCAGAAATTACAATTCAGCTGCTTCTCTCTGTGAATCTTGTTACATGAATAATGCATTTCATAAAAAAATACACAAGATATTAAATGAGTCTTCAAGAGAGGCTGATTACAATGTGCAGCAATGTCTATTCGCCATCCCCTGGAGACATGGTTTTGTTTGCATTTTCACTGGCAAGGCTTAATAATAACTTGAAATCAGAGCAAGTAATTCACATAAAAATTCACATCCTCAGTACTCTGCATACCTTCCAAAGTCTCTGGGCCCATGAGGAAGAGGAATGCTTTATTGGGAAGTCAACTCAAGATTGAAAACAATTTTCTTAAGGCTAGGGCAAAGGTGTCAGACTGAAACAGTAGGAAAACACATTTTGTCCACATCAGGGATCATTCCTCTATTAAAAAGAAAATGATCAGTGAAAGCAAGGATTCTAGCCTACCATAAGGAAACCTTGTATATTTTTATATTTTTATTTTATTATCTATGCTTAGAGCATGAGAAAAAAAGAAGACAGCAATTTAAGCTTCTTTGAAACTGAGTTTTGCCAAGCTATTGCAGGCTGCAAGAGATGCCCAGCACCTTTCTAGCAATAAGCAAGTAGAGCACATATCACAAAGAGCAACACTCAGAAAAACAAATTTTCTTCTCTACCTGCTGCCTCATCCCACAGCAGCCTGCTGAATAAAAAAAGCCCCAAAGTTGGTGTCCCAGCAATGTGGACCAGCTCTGGAATGTCACATTTCCAGGCAGCTTAAAAACAGTGTCCTGTGGGGACAACCCAGATATGGAGCTGTCAGTCTGTTTACGAATGGAGGTGTATTTTATAAAACCCCCAAACAAGAGCATCACTCCTTGTGTAGAGTATGACCCCAGTGCTAAAAAGAAGTGCCACTCCTTCCTCTGTATTTCAAGGGAAATGCTCATGTATTGGTGCTGCCTGAAATCTTCTCAAACAATGCACTGCCGAGTATTAGTCATGAATTCGAGTCAAGTTTTAAGCAGTCATACTCGCCAACATCTCTTGCATTAAACACTCTTAAAACTAGCAGATGCAATGGAGTGGGTTTGAGACTGAGGGCATTCAGTGCTTTATTCTTACGTCAGCTGGACTGTCAGAGTCAGGGGTTCTCACCCACTTGGGGTATCCCTTACCACTCCCCTGCGAACTTTACGTTCATCCAGTTTCAGGACCCCTCAACATTTGCATGGGCAAACTGGCCCTAAGGTACCATCAGTAGTGCTCAGGTTCTTTTCCAGATCAAGTCAAATGAGATACAACACAAGCAACCAAAGATGAACTTGCTCTGGGCAGTTAGTCATACACTCAGTCCCTTTCTCAACTTGCTCCACTCTCGTGGTCATCCCGGCCCAAGTCAGTGGAAGGACAGCTTTAATCTTAATCATAGCAAAGCAAAATTGTGAAGGTCTGGGGTGCCACTGAACACTCTTGGCTCCCAAAGACAGAAGGTTTGTAGTGCAGAGCTAGTTGTATTACAGGGTCAGATCCCTTATTTATGCTGGATACAAGTGTATGACACTGGTTACATAGATTAAAAGAATGTGCCAGATCAAATACTGAGGAAAACTCAAGCAGCAAACCTAAGCCCACTGAAGTTTTCTAGGAAAGTTAAAATTCTAGCATTCCCACTGACCAACCTTAATTTTTTTTTGGAAATTACAGGCCGTGGATTTCAGGCAAATGCATCAAACTCACAGAATGGAAACAGCCACAAAGTGATTAATATTAAAGTGTGTCTGACAAAGGCATTTTCACTGTCTAAGCTGACAGCAGTTTGAATGATAAACAAGCATAGAAACAAGTGAATTCTGCTTCAGGAAGTTCTCAGAGCTTAAAAAAAACCCCTAGATTCTGTTTTTAAACATGACACCAAATCTTTACTAGCAATGGCTTTCAGCATCTCCACTTTATAAGGCTTATGAGACTTTAATGCACTAATTACAACATCCAGCATGGATAATCCAGTAGTATCTTCTGACAATCAACATGAAAAGACGCTATGTCCTTAACTTTGGAGTTTGTCAGAGGTATGGACACAATTCAGGCACTGTCTGCCAGCAATTCTGCAGCACGTGACCCTGGCTTTCTGGATCTGTCTTTGTAGAGCAATTGGGCACAGACTGTAAGGGGACTTACAGGAACTTTACAGCTCCACACTCTCAGCTGAAAAGGTGAATCGTTCATCACAAAGAAAGACCAAGCGTGTTTTTATGGCAAACAAATTCCTTCCAGGATGCTCAAGACGCCTGCTACTCAAGGAAGTTGAACGAAGGAACTCCTGACTGGATTCGATGGGCTTCCCCGCCTGCTCTTAGGAGCTGCTGGAGCTCAGGGCTCTCCTCTGAGATCAGCTACGGGCTTTCTGTTCTGGCTGATTTTAATGACAGATTAGTGCTCTCAGAAGAGCTTAGAACCCAGGGAGCCAAGCCTTGTGTTACAAATGCTGTCACATGCTGGCTTGGAGCAGAGGCAAAGACAGGTCTTGCCCCATGGCGTGACCCCTCCATCGCAGCCTCTACAGTGCAAGAGCTGCATCCCTTGGACCAGGGTCACAGCGAGGGTGACACAGGCTGTGTGCGCTTACTGCCCACACACTGGAGGAATAAACAGGTATCAGTTAGTAATTTTTCCTACCCGTTACGGTCAAGAAGCCTTTTTAAACTCTGCCCAGAGGATGCTGCAGTAATTCTGTACTGTTGACACTGGAACTGTATGAGGAAGGCAAGATTTTTGGCATTAGCATATTCTCAATTAGCATTGGTGGCACAGAATAAAGCTGCCATGTCACTCTTTAAAAGCCACTGGTAGGGAGATGACAGTGGAGTTACAGATGTTTACAGTGCTCAAAACTCACCTTTTAGTCAATCAGTTTGATGGCTATTTGGTTTAGTCTTTTGTCAAAGTAGATGGGAGGTAAATTATTCAGGTTTTGCCCAGCTTTTGTACAGGAGCCAAAAAATAAAAGGAAAAGTGTCTTGAAATATAGGGCATTTATAAAAAAAAAGAAGTAAGAATAAGCACAAAGCTTATTTTCCACTTCTGATTTTTTGCATAGCACGGTTTTTTCTCTAGCTACTAGTCTGCCTTTCATTAGTTGCTTGGTTAGCTGGGTTAGCAGAGAAAAACAGTCTAAGCCCAGCCACTTTCTGTTCAGCACAGGGATGGACAGGCTTAGCGACACTTGCACCTAATGCAAAATAATGCTTCTTCCCAACACACCATGAATACCTGAGTGAGAAAAGATTAAGATGAAACTTCAGGAGAGATAAAAACCTGCCAGTTCCAATGTGCGGGGAAGATGCTGGTGTATCTTGCTAGATAGGAATCAGAGAGGCGGACACTCTGTCTGGTCTGTACACAAAATGTAAGAGAACAAGATCTTCTCCTGACCCTCACTTGTCACTCTTGTGCATATCAGGATGCTAATTAACAGCAGAAATCTGGACACCTCTCATCTGGCTACTGCATTCCAACCAACATTAAATTCAAGCCATGTTTTACTCCATGAGACCGCAGCAGTGTCTGTCCCTGCAGGTCTGACTCTTCCCACCTAGGGAGGCCTGGTTCCCACCTGAAGCTTTACTGGCTGGCTTCTGAGGCTTCAGCAAGGATCCTTTTCCATTTATTGTCTTCACACAAACACATGGCTGGGTACACAGGCTCCACAAATTCTTATTTTTATTTTTTTACAGGAACATCAAAGATGATGTTTGTTCCTTTCCCTGCTTCTTCATGAACACTCTGCTAATAAAACTTGGTTACTTCAGTATCATCAGTCTGCAGACATTCAGAATAAAATACCCAACTCAGAAGCCTTTCTCTCATATTCCTCAGCAATTCCTGTCCAGTTCACCTGACAGACACGGCTATTTCCATGGGTATTACCAGCACATGAATCACACTTGCACTGCCCAGTACAAAGCCCTAATTTCAAGTTCCTCGTCCTCTCACATACACGTAAGAACACATTTT